GTTCCTGGGCGGCTACGACGGCGCCGCGGGCCGCGCCGCGCTGGCCGCGCTGCAGCACCACCTCCCCGCCCTGCTGATCGGGGGCAGGCCGCTGCCGCGGGCTTTTCGGGCGCTTCAGGGGCGGGCGAAGCTCGCCCCGCCCCGGACGGGCCTGCTGCCCCTGCGCGTGGCCATGTTGGCCCAGGGCCGCCTCGCGGAGGCGACCTTCGTGAGGCTCGCGTTCGGCGCGTGCCGCCGCCCGAGCGAGGCCTGCCGCCTTGCCGCCGCCTTGCTGATCGCTCCGCGGCTCGGGTCGAAGGGGGGCCACCAGCACTGGGCCATCCTGGTGAACGAAACCGCGAGCGGGGGGCCTGGCAAGACGGGCGTCGCCGACGAGAGCTTGATCGTCGACGGCCCCTTGCTGCGGCCGCTGCTCGACTCCCTTCGTCAGGGGCGACGACCCGAGGCGAGCCTGTGGAGCTTCTCGCCCGAGCAGGTCCGCCGGGCCTTCAAGGCTGCCCTGGCGACGCCCCAGCTCGACGGCGAGCAGACGTCGCTGTGCCCCCTGCGCCGCGGAGGAGCGTCAGACGACCTCCTGTCGGGGCGTCGGGCTCGCAAGGAGGTCAAGGACCGCGGCCGCTGGAGGACGGGCCAGTCGTTGAACCGATGCGCCAAGCGAGCTCGGATGCAGCAGCGTCTGGGGCAGCTCGCGCCAGCTCTGGGGGAGTTCGGGGGCAGGGTCGAGGCGAACTTCTTGCAGCTGGTGGAGGAGAAGGCGCGGACGGGCATCTTCTCGCTGCACTGCCGCCGCTTCCCCCTGCGTCCGCGCCGCCAGCCGTGAGGTCTGCGCCCGCGCTGACCGACCAGTGGGGCTTCGTTTTAGGAGGCCCTGGCGGCGGGCCCGATCACGCGCGTCTGTCATGCCTTATCATGTGACTTTGTGCATCTGCGCGCCGAATCGTATTCGTCGAGCTTGCGGACATCGTGGGCTTGGAATTGTTGCTATCAACCTTGCTCGCCATCGCTTGGAGGGCGCTGGCGACCCGCGGCTACTGGACGCGTTGCTGTGCTGGGTGCGCTCGTCGGCGGTCCTCGGCTTATTGGTTTCCGTGCCGGCTGTGACCTGGAGGTCAGGGGCGGCCCGCTTGCGCCGATTGGATGCCCCTCTGGAGGGAACGAGCATCTCTGAGCTTGATAGACGTGCCATCCGAGTTGCAAACGCGCTCACCGCCGCCACCTTTAGGCTGATCTCGGAATGCATTTGTCGCGGGGTCCCCGTGATTTTTGCGCATCCTGAAGCTAGCCTGATCTGGGGACATCCCCTTCTCTCCCCTCTCCGTTCCTCCTCTTCCTCCTGCTCTCTCGACTCCTGCATGTTTTCAGGCCGCGTTCGACAGATGATGTTCGTGGTCGGTAGGGGCGCTCGGGACCTCGACTGCCTCTCGCGTCGTTGCCTCTGCCCCCAGGGCCTGTGTGACCGCGCTGGCCGCCGTCACTTAGGAGGCCTCGGTCGTCCTGCGCTGGATGCCGTTGCTCGAGCCTCGACCCGCGGTCTACCCTTTGAAGCAGCCACCGCAGGCGCGGACATGGTAGTTGCTGCCGCGCGGCAGCTGTCCCGTGCCGCCCGGTATAACAAGGTGTTTGGTCAATGGAGTTTTTCGGCTGTAGCCGTGTGTAGAGACTAGCGTGTGGTACCGAGTCTGTGCTTCTCTTGCTGGCTGTGCACTCTCGAGGCTGCCCTCCGCCGTTCTGCGCAAAAATGGAAAATATGGCTTCGAGAGATCCCGCGTGCCGCGACTTGTCGGCATTTGGGGTGCATGTGTGGCCGTATCCCGGTGCTCAAGTTCTTCCCTGGCCCCCCCGCCCAACTTGAGCAATGATTTTAACCGTGGCCGAGTATGTGCTTCTCTTGCTGGCTGTGCATTCTCGAGGCTGCCCTCCGCCGTTCTGCGCAATGATGGAAAAAGACGGCCTCGAGAGATCTCGCGTCAATGCGCGCCCCTCGACGCTCGCACCCTGTTTTTTGACAGGGGAAGTCTTCGTGCTCAAACTGTGCCCCTGCCCCCCCGGATTGCAACAACAAGGGCTCCCGCCTGTCACGTCCTCCAAATCTATTCAGGACCCTCGCTCCAAAGACTTCCTCACAATTTACTCAGGATCGGTGCTCCCGCCTGTGACTTCCTCGCAATTTAGTCAGGACCGCGCTCCCATCTGAGACTTCCTCGCCATTTACTCAGGAACGACCGCTCCCGCTTGAGACTTCCTCGCAATTGAGTCAAGGTTTCCTCGCAATTTAATCGAGACCCCCGCTCCCGCCAGAGAACCCTTCAAACTTTATCCAGGAATTGCGCTTTCGCATCTGATTTCTATACAATTGATTCAGACATCGCGCTTTCGACGCTCAAGGAACACGCTGCGCCAGGGACGCCGTTACAACTTACTTAGTATTCGCGCTTTCGCCATACTCAGGCATCCCGCTTGAATGTCCCCAGGGGATCGCCCGCCCGTCGTGGGCTCCCGCCCGACACTTCCTTCAGGAACGGCGCTTTCGCTTAGGACTTCCTCGAACGCTCACGCTCTTACATTCCTGTTCCTCCTCCCTTTCCCTCCTCCATCCTCCCTCCTCTCCTCCTTTCTCTCTCCCCCCTATCTTCCCTCATCCTCATGCCTCTCTGCCTTATCCCCTCTCCCTCCTCTCCCTCCTTCGTTCTCCCTCCCCTCTCCTGCCTCCTCCCTCCATTTTTTGTTTTTTTCTCTCATTCTCTTTCTCTCTCTCTCTCCCCTCTCTCTCTCTTCTTTCTCTACCTGTTTTACCCGTCTTTCTCTCTCTCTCTCTGTCTCTCTCTGTCTTTCTTTGCCTCTAATCAACCGCCCCCTGCTTCGCTCCTTCTCTCCTGGCGTTTTCCCTCTTCCTTCGTCCCTCCCCCTCCCTCCCTCCCACTCTTCCTCGTTCTCCCCTTCCTCTGTGTGCAGGTCCCACACCAATTCCAATGGCGGGCACATGTACGCCCACGAAAAATTGTCCGCCCGTTTAGGTTTGCCCGCCAGTCTAAGCCCGCCGCCCCCCCGCAAAGAGACCCCCCCCCAAAAGGGGGTGTGATCGAACACAGAAACGCCGGGTATCGAAAGTGTGGGGAATTCGTTTCGAATGACACACGGGCAAGTAAGAACGATCAGTCTGATAATGATTTTTTTTGTTGTTGCTGCTGTTGTTGTTGCTGTTGCTGTTGCTGTTGCTGTTGTTGTTGTTGATGTTGCTGTTGCTGTTGCTGTTGCTGTTGCTGTTGCTGTTGCTGTTGTTGTTGTGATTGCTGTTTCGTTGTTGTTGTTGTTGTTGCTGTTGTTGTTGTTGTTGATGATGGTGATGATGATGTTGTTGTTTCGTTGTTGCTGTTTCGTTGTTGCTGTTGTTGTTGTTGATGATGGTGATGATGATGTTGTTGTTTCGTTGTTGCTGTTTCGTTGTTGTTGTTGTTGATGATGATGGTGCTGATGATGTTGTTGTTTCGTTGTTGCTGTTTCGTTGTTGTTGTTGATGATGATGGTGATGTTGATGTTTCGTTGTTGTTGTTTCGTTGTTGTTGTTGATGATGATGGTGCTGATGATGCTGTTGTTTCGGTGTTGCTGTTTCGTTGTTGTTGTTGATGATGATGGTGATGATGATGTTGTTGTTTCGTTGTTGCTGTTTCGTTGTTGCTGTTGTTGTTGTTGATGATGATGATGGTGCTGATGATGTTGTTTCGTTGTTGTTGTTTCGTTGTTGTTGTTGTTGATGATGATGGTGATGCTGATGTTGTTGTTTCGTTGTTGCTGTTTCGTTGTTGTTGTTGATGATGATGGTGCTGATGATGTTGTTGTTTCGTTGTTGTTGTTTCGTTGTTGTTGTTGATGATGATGGTGATGATGATGTTGTTGTTTCGTTGTTGCTGTTTCGTTGTTGTTGTTGTTGATGATGATGGTGATGATGATGTTGTTGTTTCGTTGTTGCTGTTTCGTTGTTGTTGTTGTTGATGATGATGGTGATGATGATGTTGTTGTTTCGTTGTTGCTGTTTCGTTGTTGTTGTTGTTGATGATGATGGTGATGATGATGTTGTTGTTTCGTTGTTGCTGTTTCGTTGTTGTTGTTGTTGATGATGATGGTGATGTGTTGTTGTTGTTTGTTGTTTGTTGTTTCTTGCTGCCGCTTCTTGGGTTATTCTTCGGGCCTTGAGATTCGGGCCCCGAGCGGACGGAGGGCGGCACCAGACGGGCCTCTCCGCCACCCGGGACGAGCCGCCCCGACGCTCGAGGCTTCGCCGGGCGCGCGGTGGAGGTGGCGCGGCCCCTGGGTGCCCGCGGCGCGGCTCCCGCGGGGGGCAGTGAACCTTCCTGCCCCCTCCTCTCCTCCCTCCTCCTCCTCCTCCTCCTCCTCCTCCTCCTCCTCCTCCTCCGCTTCCCTCATGCCACTCCTCCTCCTCCTCCGCCTCCTCCTCCTCCTCGTCGTCCTCCCTCGCCTCCACCTCCACAGCTCCTCTACGCACTCTGAGTACCGCTCCCCTCACGGAGGGTCAGCGGGGGGAGAGCCTCTGAGCACGGCCTGGTGGACAGTGAAGGGCCCGAGTCTCCGAGTTTATTGCCTTTGCGGCGGCGTGCGGGGGTATCGGCTCTCCAGCAGTCCTGGGCCAGGCGTTTCGCGACGGTGGATACCTTTACGTCGTCCCGTTCTTCTACCGCTCAGGATCCAGGCTCCCTGAGCAGCCAAAGGCGGTGGGGCTCTCTCGATGGCATCAGAGGTGTGCTAGCCACACCTTTCTGTCGATTGCCCTCGCATCCTCGTGTGCCCCCGAAGGTGGAGCCGCGCGTTGCTTTCGGCTGCCCGTGACCCAAGGTCTCCCCATCTCCCCCGCGAATTATCGTTCCGGGTCTCCGGGCGAAGGTCTTTGGCGTCCCTCCTGGCGGGTGTCCACCTCTCCGCAGCCGCGGCTCGAGGCGCACGGGCCCGCGCGCTCCCCGGGGCCACGCGCCGCACCCGGCCTGCGATGAACGCCGCCGCCGGCGCCAGCGGATGCCGGGCGCTCGTCCCGGGGCTGGCCGGGCGCCTCGCTCGGACGCGGTCGGGCTCATCTCGGCTGCGCGCCAAGACGGCCCCGCCGCCGGAGCGGCCCCGGGCGCGCGGGCCTCCGGGGGCGCCCAGGGGGGGCCGAGGCCGTCGCCTCGGCAGTGCAGCGATCGGCAGGCCGCGCGCCCGGAGGCCGCTCTCGCCCGGGGCCGCCCCCGAGAGCCGACGCTGCGGGCAGCGCGGCAGCCTCGCGGGAAGCCACGACCGGAGCCCTGGGCCCCAGCTTTCCGCAGCATTCTCCGACGAAGGCATGTACACTCCAGGCGATGCTTAAGAAAACTTACGTTTTCGGCCAGAGTCTCGATTATTCTTAAAATGTTTCAGCGTAAATCCTAAGATTTGAATCGACATTCTGGGTTTGATTTCAAATTCTGAGACTATGAATTTCTTAACCCATGATTTCTAAAGCATTTCGCAGGGTGTATACACCACCACCGTACCAGGCCAGGGCCATCCTGGGTTCCAGGATGGTGTATAGACCCTCCTGGCCTCGGCCAGGATGGCGTACACACCATGCCAGGGCCAAGATGGCCCTGGCCTGGCACGGTGGTGGTGTGTAGATGCCTTCTGCGTGCATTCCTGGGGAGGGCCCCCGGGCCCCGAGGCAAGGCGATGCAGCTGGCTCTCGGGGGCTCTTGCCCCGCAGCCGACCATCTTGCGCGGCGCAGTGGGCCAGTGGCGCTCATGCCGGCTGGATCGGCCTGGGGGCCATGGGCTACCCCATGGCGGCCCACGCGGCCCGCCAGGCTTCAGAGGGTGAATCACCTGCCCCGCTCGCGCTTCCAGGCACAGCCGAGCCGCACCAGGCGCCTCCTTGTCAGGCAGCCTGACCGTTGCTGGCCACCCCACGGGTGGTTTGGTACGGTGGAGGAGGAGGAGGAGGAGGAGGAGGAGGAGGAGGAGGAGGAGGAGGAGGAGGAGGAGGAGGAGGAGGAGGAGGGTCCAGGATTGTGCCCAGGAGGCTTCCGATCCTGGAGGATCTCTTATCTGACGAGGGCGGCGGTGAGTGCCATGGCCAAGCCTCACTTGGTGCTCAGCCGGCCTCCGGGCCCCGGATTCCTTGCCCAATGGTTCCTCTTCCAGTACCCCCTCGCCGTACCGCTTGGCTGCCGCTTGACAGCAGAGAGCGGTCCTAGAGCGAGGCAGGCACCCCGACGTGCGACGCCCTGCTTTTCGCACGGGGCCCCCGGAAGTCCCGACCCTTCCCCCAGGGCTGGTGTTTCATCGCGGGCCGTTTTTTTGACGGCCCTGTGGCCCGGCGAGGCCCCCGGAAACCGAAGACGGCGAAAGACCTCCCGCCGTTTTCGTTGTTGTTGTTGTTGTTGTTGTTGTTGTTGTTGTTGTTGTTGTTGTTGTTGAACACTATTACTTCTAAAGAATTATTATTGTTGGACCCCCTGGTGCACGCCCCCCGCCCAAAACCTAGGCCGCAGCTACATTTTCATCATTTTTCTGCGAAAGCTTCAGAAAAGTGGATTACCCCCGGATCCGGTTTTTTGTTGACGCTCGTTTTCCCTTGCAAAAAACAATAGAAAATGAAAATTCTTGTTCTTAGTTGATCAAATTTCAAGAATCCCTTGCAAAAAATAAGGTAAAGTGGACATTCGCGCTCGCAAGACGAAATCCTTCCAAAACCTTAGGTTTCGTAACGATTTTAACATAAAAACATCAAAAACCCAATGGTTTTTTAAGAAAAAATTGTCAAAATGTCCTTCCGCGCGCTCTTGCGGATTCATAGGAAACACACCACTTTTTAAACATTTCTGTCAAAAGGGTCTTTGCGTGCTACTTCTTCAGGTGCTTTGAACTTCTCCAACAACGGTTGCGCGCCTGCGAGGGCCACCATCCCTTGCAAAAAATGAGACGAAGTGCACATGCGCGCGGCCGCCGCGCGCGCATGTCGAAATCCTGCCAAACACAATGGGTTTTCACGTCTGGCACTGCGCGCGTTGGGCACTGAGAGTTAGGATCATAGCGCCATGAGTCTATGAGCAATGCATGCGTCATCCTTGGGACTGTATAACATCAGTGTAACACATGTACTTCTGTAATCGCATCCCCACGAATTTGCCCCAAAAATGTGACCAACTATCTTGGCACTGCGTACCATCTCACGTGTACCGTGTACCACATCATATGTAACAGATGTGATCAACCTCTGTGGGTGTGTACCCCACGCCAGTGTAGTAGCCAGGGTCGTCCGCACGCCACGAAGTGAAGTGTCCCAACGTCATAGGGCGGGAAGCTGGGTGTGGGTGGTCTCGAAGAGTCGTTTGGATATTTGGTAGAGCTTGAACGGCCCCCCCACGAAGTGGGGGTATTGGCTGGTGTCGCAAGAAAACCCTGGCACTGGGGAGAACACTGAGCGTTCGGGTAAAATGATTGTTGTTGTTGTTGTTGTTGTTGTTGTTGTTGTTGTTGTTGTTGTTGCTGCTGCTGCTGCTGCTGCTGTTGCTGCTGCTGCTGCTGCTGCTGTTGTTGTTGTTGTTGTTGTGGTTGTTGTTGTTGTTGTTGTTGTTGTTGTTGTTGTTGTTGTTGTTGTTGTTGTGCAGCGTTGTTGTTGTTGTTGTTGTTGTGGTTGTGGTTGTGGTTGTGGTTGTTGTTGTTGGATATTCATTTCTGAAGACTAGTTATTGTTGATCCCCCCACTTGTGCATATTGTTTTTCCGCAGTCAAAATGTGCCCCTCGACGCTCGCACCCTGTTTTATGTTTGGGAAAGTCTTGATGCTCAAACTAGGCCCTTGGCCCCCGGGTTACAACAACATCGGCTCCCGCTTGAGACTTCCTCACAATTTAGCCAGGACTCCCGCTCCCGCCCGAGACTTCCTCGCATTTTATTCAGGATTCGCGCTCTCGCTTGGGACTTCCTCACAATTTATTTAGGAATCGCTCTCCCGGCGCTCTGGAGTCGCGCTTTCGCTGGAGACTTGCTTGCAATTTATTGACGAATATTTGCGATTTACTCAAGCGCCGCGCTCCCGACACCCAGGCACCCAGGAGTCGCGCTCACGCTTAGGACTCCCTCACAGATTACCTACGAATCGGGATCTCGCTGCCCTTCGTGGCCACGTTGCAGCCCTTCGTGGCCCCCTCGCTTTGTTTCGTGGCCCCGTTGCAGCCCTTCGTGGCCCCCTCGCTTTGTTTCGTGGCCCCGTTGCAGCCCCTCGTGGCCTCTTCGCTGCCCTCCGTGGCCCTGTTGCAGCCCTTCGTGGCCCCCTCGCTTTGTTTCGTGGCCCCGTTGCAGCCTTTCGTGGCCCCCTCGCTGCCCCTCGTGGCCTCTTCGCTGCCCTTCGTGGCCCCGTTGCAGCCCTTCGTGGCCCCCTCGCTGCCCTTCGTGGCCCCGTTGCAGCCCTTCGTGGCCCCCTCGCTGCCCTTCGTGGCCCCATATATGTATGCCCTTCGTGACCTCCGCTCGTTCGCGCCCGTGGTTGCCCCATATCCATGCCCTTCGCGGCCCCGCTGTCGCCCTTCGTGGCCCCCTCGCTGCCTTTCGTGGCCCCGTTGCTGCTCTCAGTGGCCCCGTCCTTGCCCTCCGCGGCCCAACATACGTATGCCGTTCGTGGCCCCCGCTCGTTCGCGCCCGTTGTGGCCCCGTGTGCATGCCCTTCGTGGCACCGCTGTCGCCGTTTGTGGCCCCCTCACTGTCCTACGTGGCACAGTTGCTACCCTCAGTGGCCCCATCGTTGCCTTCTGTGGCCCCGCATTATCTGCCCTTCGTGGCCCCCGCTCGTTCGCGCTCTTCGTGGCCCCATACGCATCCCCTTCGTGTCCCCGCTGTCGCACTTAAGCCTACTTCGTGTCCTTCGTGGCCCTGCTGTCGTTCTCTCTCGCTCTCGCTTTCGCTCGTCGTCGTCGTCGTCGTCGTCGTCGTCGTCGTCGTCGTCGTCGTCGTCGCCGTCGTCGTCGTCGTCGTCGTCGTCGTCGTCGTCGTCTCCGTCGTCGTCGACGTCGTGGTCGGTCCCCTGTCCGTCCCTCTTGGGGTCGGGTCGGCGGTCCGCGGCCGCCCCGCCGATCAGCGCTGCCGCTGACCAGGCCGACGGTCCGCGGCCGCCCCGCCGCTTGCCAGGCCCAGCCTGCAGGGAAGAAATGTATACCCCCCAAAAGGGGTTCGATCGAAGACGAAGAGGGTGGGTATCGAGGGTTTGGGAAATACGCGTTATCGGACACCCGAGCAGATAAGGGCGAACAGACTTAACATGACTAGTAGTAGTAGTAGTAGTAGTAGTAGTAGTAGTAGTAGTCGTCGTCGTCGTCGTCGTCGTCGTCGTCGTCGTCGTCGTCGTCGTCGTCGTCGTCGTCGTCGTCGTCGTCGTCGTCGTCGTCGTCGTCGTCGTCGTCGTCGTCGTCGTCGTCGTCCGTCGTCGTCGTCGGGGTCGTCCGTCGTCGTCGTCGTCGTAGTAGTAGTAGTAAATAGTAGTATTATTAGTATTAGTATTAGAGTAGTCGTAAGTCGTAAAGTCGTAATCGTAGTCGTAGTAGAAGTAGTAGTAGCATAGTAGTATTAGTAGTGTAGTAGTAGTAGTAGTAGTATAAGTAGTAAGTAGTAGGAGTAGTCGTAGTATATAGTAAGTAGTAGTAGTAGTAGTAGTGGTAGTAGTAGTAGTAGTAGTAGTAGTAGTAGTAGTAGTTGTTGTTGTTGTTGTTGTTGTTGTTGTTGTTGTTGTTGTTACGGCGCGAGCATGTCGAGGCCAGTTCGCTTGCCTCCAGAGGTCGCCGCCGCGGGCGGCGGCTCGCAGCTCCGCGTCTGGAACCGCACGGCCAGCCGGGCCGCCGAGCACGCCGCGGAGCACGGCAGCGTGGCGGCGGGGCACAGCCTCGGCGGCTCGAAGAGGGGGGCCTTGGGTGCGGGCCCAACGAAGATTCACCACCACCACCACCCCCCCACCACCACCACCACCACCACCACCATCACCACACCACCCTCACCACCACCACCACCACCACCACCACCACCCACCACCACCACCACCACCACCACCACCACCACCACCACCACCACCACCACCACCACCACCACCACCACCACCACCACCACCACCACCACCACCACCTTCATCTCCCTGCCGTCCTCCAGCCTCCTCTTCCTCTCCTCTCCTCTCTTCTCCTCCCCCTTCCCCGTCTCCGTCCTCCAGGCTCCTCTCCTCCAGCCTCCTCTTCCTCTCCCTTCTCCTCGTCGGCTTCTGGGTGCAGTTTTCGGGACCCAGGACCTTCAGAAACGGATCCAGGGCGAGAGCTGCACCAAGATGGAGCCCAGGAGGGGTACTGGAACCGAATTCGAGCGGAGCGGCCGATTTTCGCTGGCCCCAGCCAGTTCAGACCCCCCGGCCGCCTCCCAACCTGAGGACGCGTGCCCTCGAGCAGTTGAGAGCTCAGCCCAGGGGCCTCGTCCTTGGGGCCCTTCTCCTCAGGGCCCTCGTCCTTCGGGGCCCTCGTCCACAGGGCCCTCGTCCTCCGGGCTCAGCTGAGGTCCTTCTGGCCCTCGTCCTTCTGGCCCTCGTCCTGAGGGCCCTCGTCCTGGGGGCCCCGAGGACAAGTGTCAGGAGGGAAAGAAACACACAGACACAATGAATCGTCGATTCCCCAGAAAATATTGGAAAATATGGGAAGTGGTGGGGAAGACAAAAACCCAGAACATATAAGAAAATATGGGGAATCCTGTTATCTGCGTGTATTCATTTGTGTGTCCCAGGGCCCCTTCAAAGTGCCCTCGAGCAGTTGAGGGCTCAGCTTGGGACCCCTCTGCCGCCCCCGAGCAGGGCGCTCTTCTCAAGAGGCAGGCCGACGCCCACAGCGTCCGGAAGGGCTCCACGAATGGCGGGAGCCATGGAGCCTCTCGGCGCCACGGTGCCTCCGCTCCGTCCTCACGAGGGCCGCGCTCTGCCGCGCATGCGAGCGTCCCGTGCGTCCCGTCGTCTTATCCCTCAGGGCCCTCAAGCAGTTGAAGGCGCAGGTTCGGGCCCTCGTCCTCAGGGCCCCCGTGGCCCGTGTCCTCAAGCAGTCGAGGGATGTGGCCCTCCTCCTCGGGGCCGTCGTCCACAGGGGCGAGTGCCCCAATGACGAGGGCCGGATCGAACAAATCTTGTCCCCTGGCCGCCGAAGCCCTACTTCTCCGTGTGCCCCAGTGACGAGGGCCCGACCGAACAAATCTTGTCCCCTGGCCGCCAAAACCCTACCTCTCCATGTGAACCGTGAACGCGTGGCTACCTCTGAACCTGTTCCGCCCAGCCGGCCAAGCAGCGCCCTGCCTGGAGCCGAGCCCCAGAAGTCTCGAGGGCATCTGCCGAGGCTCAGCTCGGGAGCCCTTTTCCCATCCCCACGCCTACGCCCACTGCAACCTATAGGATCTGGAATGCTTCCCCGACTCCGGCGTTACGTGTTCTGCCCACTCTGGTCGTTTCTCCGACTCCTCTTCACACCTTTCCGACTCCGGCTCCCGCCCATCTCTCCGACTCCGGCTCCGGCTCCGACTCCCGCCCCCAACACGTCTCCTGAGGGCTCCGGCCCCCCCGCGCCGCCCTATGAGGGCTGGTCCCGCCGGACCGAACTCGCGCGCTCGCCTCGCCTCCCATCCCTCCGGTCCGCGGGCGACATGTGTGCACCGTTCCGCGTTTGCGTCCCCCTAGGCGTCGTCGATCCTCGACCTGGGTATGGTACGGTGCGTAGTGTCTCGGCCCTCGGAGCCTGAGGACTGGAGCACCGTACCGCGCTGGAGCGGGGCCTGAAGGGAGTCCGAACATGGTACGGTGCATAGTCGCCGTTCTCGTAGCGCCGATTCAAGAAATCCGCGCGGACCGCCGGCAGTTTCTGTCAATGCCGTCCTTGGTTCCCCGACCTCAGGGTCCCTTCTCCTCCTCTCCCTCGCTCCTCCTGCTCCTCCTCCTCCTCCTCCGCCTCCTCCGCCTCCTCCTCCTCCTCCTCCTTCCTCCTCCCTCCTCCTCCTCCCTCCTCCCTCTTCCCTCCTCCCTCCTCCCTCCTCGCTCCTCCCTCCTCCCTCCTCCCTCCTCCCTCCTCCCTC